TAAACCTCACAAAACATTGTTACTGCTGTTTTTGTAAGAGCTTAGGGGAGGCAATAGTGGCTAATTCTTTTTTAAAAATTTATTATTATTATTATTATTATTGTATTTAGAGAGAGAATGAGCAAGGGAGGGGTAGAGAGCAAGGAGGACAGAGGATCTGAAACAGGCTCTATGCTGACAGCAGAGAGCCCAATGTGGGGCTCGAACTCATGAACTGTGAGATCGTGAACTGAGCTGAAGTTGGACACTTAACCAACTGAGCCACCCAGGTGCCCCAGTTACTGTGTTTGATTTAAATGGTATTTATGTTTTAGAAAAAATTGTAAAAGAAAAAAGTCCTTATATTAACTTACATATTCACCACTTCTGACAGTTTTTGTTTCTTTTGTGTAAATTCAAATTTCCATCTAGAATCATTTTTGTTTAATCTGAAGAACTTTCCTTAGCATTATTATTATTATTATTATTATTATTATTTTTTGGTCTGAAAGTGTCTTTATTTCACCTTTATTCTTTGAAAGAATTTTTGCTGGATATAAAGTTCTATATTGACAGAGCTTTTTCTTTTAGGATTGTAAAGATTTTATTCTATTATACTCTGGCTTACATTCTTTCTGATGAGAATTCAGTAGTAATTCCTGTCTTTGTTCCCTATATACAATGTGGCTTTTTCTGTGATAGTTTCTAGTATTTTCTTTCTTAAAAAAATTTTTGTTAACATTTATTTATTTATTTTTGAGAAACAGAGAGAAACAGAGCACAAACTGGGGAAGGGCAGAGAGAGGGGCAGAAGCAGGCTCCAGGCTCTGAGCTGTCTGCACAGAGCCTGACACGGGGCTGGAACTCCTGAACGGTGAGATCATGACCTGAGCCAAAGTCAGACGCTTAACTGACTGAGCCACCCAGGCACCCCTAGTATTTTCTTTCAATCATTGATTTTTTTTAGCAGTGTGAGTGTAGTGTGCTTTGGTAAGGATTTCTTTGTGTTTATCCTTTTTGGGGTTGGTTTTCTTTCTTGGACCTACAGGTTTATATTTTTTATTAATCTTAGAAAACCTTCAGCTATTATTTCTTTATATTTTAAAGAATCTCTCCTGCCTTTCTGGATTTCTGGTTACACATGTGTTAGATAACTTGGTGTTGTTCTACACGTTACCAAGGCTCTGTCCATTTTATTTTCAGCTTTACTTCTCCTTGCACTTTGGTGAAGTTCATTCTTTTGAACTGTTTCTTCCTTCACAGATCTTTTCTTCTGCAGTGTCGAAGCTGCTTTTAAGCCCATCCAGGGAAATTTTCATTTTGGATATTATATTATACTACTCTAGAAGTTCTGATTCTTTTTTATGGTTTCCATTGCTTTAATTACATTTATGTTTTTCTTCAAACTCTCGACCACATTTATCAGCTAATTTCATCATCTTTGCCATTTCTGGTCTGTTACTATTGACTGATTTTTCTCCTGTTCACATTTTCCTACTTCTTCACATATACAGTAATTTTTTATTGGATAATGGACATTGCAGGCATTATTGGCTTGGTGCCTGGATTTTGTCTTTATTTAGAGATTATTAAGTTTCATTCAAGCAAGTAGTTAATTACTTGCAGATAAGATTTTTAAGCTTTGTTTGAATGGATAGAATAGCCTTTACTCTTGGGCTAGTGTATCATTTAGCCTTCTCTCTAAAGTGTGATCTTTCTGCAGTATCCCTAGCAAATGCCCCAGGTGTTTAATATGGTTTCTTCATTCCAATTGGTCAGAGCTTGAATGTTTCCAAACTTGATTCAAGCTCTAGTAGTTGTTCAGATTATACTCCAACCTCCTCCCCCACTCCCACCACCCAAGTTGTTATTTAATTAGCATCTAGCCTCATGAAGTCTATCCTTAAACCTACACCAAAGACTCATGGAGACCCTTAAGCATATTTCTGGAGTTCTTTCTCTGGTATTCTACCTTACAGATTTCAGTTGCCTCAATCTCTTCTAATTCCAAGTTCTCTCTCCTCATTTAGCAAGAGAACTGTATTCTGTCTGGCTTTCTTCTGTCCTGTGCTTAGGTAAATACCTCCAGAAAGAAATCTGAAGAAACCTTTGGGCTCATCTGAAAACACTTGTTTCTTAGATTTGGTCCAGGTTTCTATTGTTTGTAATAGGAAGGTTATCTGATACCAGTAACTTACCGATGGCTAGATAACCCATAACATGTTTATTTATTTTTTTAAAGTTAAAAAATAAAAATGTTTTTATTTATAAAGTTAAATTTTTAAAGTTATCTCTACACCCGACATGGCACCCAAAATTCACAACCCTGAGATCAAGTGTTGCATGCTCTTCTGACTGAGCCAGCCAGATGCCCCACCCATAACAGTTTTAAAATGTCAACTTTTGGGGCGCCTGAGTGGCTTAGTCGGTTAAGCGTCCGACTTTCGCTTAGGTCATGATCTCGCGGTTCGTGGGTTCGGGCCCCGCGTCGGGCTCTGTGCTAACTGCCAGCTCAGAGCCTGGAGCCGGTTTCAGTCTGTGACTCCCTCTCTCTCTGACCCTCCCCTGCTCACGCTGTCTCTCTCTCTCTCCTAGAAATAAATAAAAAAAAATAAATAAAATGTCAACTTTTTATTGAATAATAAAACATGTACTGAAGGGCACTTGGTGTCTCAGTCAGTTAAGCATCTGACTCTTGACTTTTTTTTTTAATGTCTTATTTATTTTTGAGAGATAGAGACAGCGTGAGCAGGGGAGGGTCAGAGAGAGAGGGAGACACAGAATACAAAGACAGGCTCCAGGCTCTGAGCTAGCTGTCAGCACAGAGCACGACGCGGGGCTCGAACCCACGAACCGTGAGATCATGACCTGATCTGACTCTTGATTTTAGCTCAGGTCATGATCTCATGGTTCATGAGTTTGAGCCCCTCATTGGGCTCAGGACTGACAACATTGAGCCTGCTTGGGATTCTCTCTCTCTCCCTCTCTCTTAGCCCCTCCTCTGACCACTCTCTCTCTCTCCAAAAAAAAAAAATATATATAATACATACTGAAAAACTGCATAAATCTTAAGTGTACAGCTTGAAGAATTTTCATTAATTGGACTTACTGGTGTAATCAACACCCAGATCAAGAACAACAGTATTAGAACTCCAGGAGTCCCCTGGTGGCCCTTTATAAATTTAATACCACTTAAGGATAGCCAATATTCCAACTTCTATTACCATATATTATTTTTGTCTTTTTTTGTCTCTATATATTTGTAATATATATTTTTGTCTAATATATGTCTATTACCATATGTTATTTTTTGTCTTTTTTACCATATATTATTATTTTGTCTTATTATTATACAAGAAGAATCATATAAAATACAATTTTTGTGTCTGGCTTCTTTTGCTCAATTTTATAACTGTGAAATTCATCCATGTGTTGTGTGTAGTTGTAAAATGTTCATTCTCTTTCCTGTATACTATTCCACTATATGAGTATTCTAAAATTTACTCGTCCTGTTAACATTCTTATCTATGTCTTTTGGTGAACATAGGAATACATTTCTCTTGCATATACACCTCTGCATGGAATTACTGGGTTAACCCATTCCAGTAACCACTAAATTTATATAATAAGTCCAACCATTTCTTCTGAACTCCAGACTTACACATCCAAATCTGTTTGACACCTCATTTATAAGCATCTCAAACTTGTATCCAAATCCGTTTTCTTCTCTATCCATGTTCCCTGAATTAAAAGCCTTCTTAATCCATCTGTTTACTTAAGGAGTCATTTTTAATGCTCCTCTTTTCTTTACTCTTCCCAGAAAATCAATCCATTATCAAGCCCATTAGTATCCACCTCTCATTATACATGTCCTGAAATTATCCAGCTCTCACTGTCTCTACTGCCATTACCCTAGGTTAAGCCACCATCATCTCTGGCCTTGACTAATGTAACTGCTTCCAAACTGGCCTTTCAGCAACCCCTCCTGCCCTCTTCCAAACTATACACCACAAATAGCCTGAGTGAGCTTTTAAATATGTAAATCAGATCCTACTTAACATTTTCTATTAGCTGCCCATTAACCTTAGGATACATTCCAAAATACAGCCTAAAATCTATTATGTAGCCAATAAGAGCCTGCATGATCTGGCCTCTGTCTCATTTCAGTCCAAGCTTGCTCCCTAGTTTCAACCATATTGACTTCCTTTCAGTTCCTAGAAGGCACCAATTTCTTTAATGCCCCAACAACCTAATACTTAATGTTCTCTTGGCTTGAAACATTCTTTAAGGCACTTCCTTATCCCCGGAACTTAAAAGGACTTCTTTAAAGTCATCTTCCCTGATAGTCCAGAATTAATTCATCACCACACCCACTAATTTTCCTTCATAGTACTGATCACAATTTATAATTATGTAATAATTTATGCTTAACATCTCTTGCTCTTTTTACACGTTAGATTCCATCCAGTGTTACGTTCTTTCCTGTAACCCAATGCCTAACACTGGGCTTGGCACGTGGTGCACAGTCACTAAGTGCTTATTTAATAATGCATGATTAATAATAAGGCAAAGGGAGGAGGGGGACACAGGGTCTGCATCTGGCTTTTTTTTTTTTTTCCCAAAGTTAGCTGCCTCCTTGTGTGGTGTTAGATGGGACAAGTCCTTTTTCTTGCTCACTCAGAAGAGGCTTTTCCCCCGTGCTCCTTGGATGTGTTTGCTGTGTGGCCGCGTGAGAGACGAACTGCCTCCAGATACCGGCGGCAGACAGGAGAGATTAGCTTTATTTGTGAAGGACAGTATTAGCTCTCATCAGAGGACTTCGCAACCTCTTGGCGAAGGTGCTTGTAAAGCTGCCAAATTTTCCTGGAAGAGGTCCGGACAAGCTCGGCCCTCGGGAGGGGGCGGGCCAATGTGTCCTTCCCACCGACCCTGATTGGCCTGGGGAAGCCGAGGGGGGGCGGGGCTTGATCCCGCCAAGCGCCAGCCACGTTAGACGCCGGGCTGCCCCGAGGAGAGGCCACTCCCTGGCCCCACAATGCACTGCGGGCCGCGTCACTCGGAGCGGTGGGCCTCGGCTCGACAGGTACGACCCGGCCCCTCCCAGTTCTCGTTCTTCAACCCTCTTAGGGTCGCTTGAGTGAGGGTCCCCTCGCTCTCCCTGCCTGCTGCCATGGCCGTGTCCCTAGCCCTCGCGACTACAGACCTCCCGGGCAGGGACCCAGCGCGTGCTTGGGGGCGGGAGCCGGGTGGTTGGAGCCGCGGAGCATTGGAGGGGTGGGATTGCCGGGACTTCTTCCCCTTTGGCTTAACAGGGGCTGTGGGGCCGCGCGAGCGGCAGTTGACGTGTCTTGGGTATGGGACAGTTCAGGCAGGGGACCCCGGGGGAGGGACCGTCGCTGTGGGCTTCCAGCAGTGGGGGACACTCCCTGGAGCCCAGTGGTTAGAAACACGCGTAGGCTACATAAGTGGACCAGAGAGCTTGATGTGGCATTTCCTTTTCTTTCAAACGCAGGGTGGGATTTGAACCAGTGGTTTACTTTGCGTTTAGTGGGGTTTTAATGAGCATTGAGCCCAGCGATCCGACCGCGTTGGCCAACAGAAGCTTCTTAAGGCCCTGTTAATGTGTCTTAAAGGAGACCTGAGCAATTGGCTCTATAGGTGGAAGAGGGCTCCAAAATAGGAGACTGAGCCCCAGCTGGCTTGAATCTGCCTGCCAGCCAAAACAGCTTTGGACTCTTCTCAGTTTCCTGAATCAACCTCTTGGGGCAGTTGGAGAGCTTGAGAACCAGTTCCTCCTATGCCTATACAGCAAAGGCAAAGTCCAGGGCTAACGTGTCAGCCACCAGATGCGAGATGTTGTAATCCTAACAGGTGGAACAACCACTTTGCTAAACTCTGAATTTGCTCATGTGCTGAGATTATAAGGAATTAGTATTTGAAAGAGTACCAGCGTTTTCCATTATTGAAGGTTGTATTTCAGTATTTGACTCTGACATGCACGACCATGCCCTAAATTAAAGCGGCATCTGGGCATTTTCTATGTTGAGAACCATGATATAAATTTAGCGCCTGTGTGTGTTTGTGTTGTGTGTGTGTATGAATTGATTTTTTTTTTAAATCCATGTTTTATATTGATGTTTAAAAGAAGCCTTGGGGGCTTCTGGGTGGCTCAGTCGGTTAAGCGGCCGACTTCGGCTCAGGTCATGATCTCACAGTTCATGGGTTCAGGCCCCGCATTGCGCTCTGTGCTGACAGCTAGCTCAGAGCCTGGAGCCTATTTCAGATTCTGTGTCTCCCTCTCTCTCTGACCCTCCCCTGCTCACACTGTTTCTCTCTCTCTCTCTCTCTCTCTCAGAAATAAAACGTTAAAAACATTTTTTTTTTTTTTTTAAATAAAAGATGCCTAGGCCTTTTGTAAGGGGTGTCTGTGACTTTCCAAATACCTGAGTAAGAAGCTTGGAAACGTTGTGTGGTAGTATCTCATAGGGTGGTTAGAATTAGGCCTGGATCTAAATCTGTCACTTGCAAATTCAGGGATTGAATACGTTCTCTAACTTTTTGAGCTTGAATATCCTCAAAAGAAAAATGGAACTGATAGTACCTATCTGATAGGTTTTTGGAAGGCTTAAATCAGGTAGTATATAAAGTGCCTGGTAAATAGAAGGCAGTCAATTAAGTTAATAAATCAGTATTGCACTTTTAGTCTTCAAGGTGATGTTTCAGGTTCTTTATGTAGCTTTATAAGGTAGATACTATCAGCATCTTTAAAACAATCCTAGGAGATACATGCTATTAGTGACCACAATTTACAGGTGAGGAAATTGAATACAGACAGGCAAAGCTTGCCCAAGCTTACAGTTAGCACATGGTGAAGCCAGTTTTTGAACCCAGGCACATGTTCCAAAGTCCATCCTGTTAACTGTTATACTGCCTCTTACAGAAAATGTAAGGTGGTCTTTTATTATTTCAGAGTAGCTAGAAAGCTTCAGTATCATTGGGTTCTTGCTCCTTGCTAGTTTCAGGAGACTGATGTAGCATAGTGGTATGGAGATACAAGATACTTAAGTTTAGGCACCAGTTCTATATATTTGCAGTGTGACATTGAGAAAGGGACCTTCAGTTTCCTCATCTGTAAAATAGAGATTATATCTACCTCACTGTTGGGGACTGACAGCTTGTGCATGTGTTGAGGGCCCTCTTTCTAGATGTGGGTATCATTTACTCTGGAGCCTGAGGTCTTATACATACTTTGTAGTACAAGCATCTATGATAGTATTGAAGGCTTCTGGTAAGGTGGAGGGCATAGGCAAAGCCACAAAATAAAATCTAATTGTCTTTGATACTTTCTCCTTTTCCTCTTCAAGCTCTGTCTCTCAAGCATCTTTCAGTTAACTTATGGCTATGGAGTCCTTCCCTTTTCACTCAATTTTGCCCCCACCCTGTGCATCATAATTAGTATAGCTTTCTCCCCCCAAAACCCCTGTCCCCATTTCCACAGATCTCCGCTAGCATTTTCAATAAAATATGTTCCAAGAGAGGGTTTCCCATGCAAGATAATTTGAGTATAAGCAGATGAACATTAAAGAAGTAATTTTCCAAACATACACACACACATTTGGATGAAACAAAAAAAACCTATAAATTAGAAAAATGTAACACCTCAAAACTTATTTCACAGATGTTATTGCTAAGGATGGGGCAAAAGGTCCATTGAAAAACCTGCTTTAGGTAAATAATAGTACAGGTGAGACGTAGATATAAGACTTCGGAAAACGATAATTGGATGATTAAGTTTGGAAAATAATGAACTTAAAATATGAGTGGTTAACCCAGTCTGAAATGTTTTTATCTTTCTATGAAAGCATCTTGCTGAGAGTAGATATAAAATATACTTCTATATTGGATTTTGTTAGTTACTTTTTGAGAAATTGCCTTCCTGGTGGCCCACAGTCATTACCCTACAAAGTTCTGAAGAAGAGATCAGCCTCTAGGTAAATGTTTTCCCAGACCTAACTAGATTCTAATTTGGGCTTTTTCCTTTAGCAGTTGCTGTTGAGGAAAGGATATACAGGTCAGTATCCTAATCCCTATGAGTCTTCTGCTATCTAAAGATATAGGTTTTTTTCAGGGTTAAAGGTGAGGGAAAATGGGTCATGGCCTAAAAATATATCTATGGCCCTGATAAAACTACTGTTGCCCTGAATCTTCCCATGCAAATGTTAACCTCTTGATTTCCTCAGTTCCTACCAACAATTCCTTGGTTTCCCAACCACCACTGTGTCTGGACTCTAAGGGTTCTCTAACCTGAGCTTCATCTTCATGTGGGGGGATACCTTTTTCTACTAGCATAATCCAGATAAGATTGGAGTGCTTTCTTCAAGGAACTGCATTAAAAATCCAAGAGAAAAGAAGGGATGTATTATTTGATAGAGGAGAGATTGCTTATCCTAAAGTGATTGAAGTCCATCTACAAATTAGTAAAGCCTGACATTGTTCATTGGACACTCATGCTAGTTTCTTTTGTTCACTGGTTTGGATGTCAGGTCAGATGACTCTGGGAGGAAGTGATTTAACTTTTTCTCTTCAAAAGACTCTTATCAACTGGTAGATAAAAGCAGTTTTGTAGCAAACAACCCAGTGAAGAAATGGGCAGAAGACATGAACAGACACTTCTCCAAAGAGGACATCCAGATGGCCAACAGACACATGAAACGATGCTCAGCATCCCCCCTCATCAGGGAAATACAAATCAAAACCACACTGAGATACCACCTCACGCCAGTCAGAGTGGCTAAAATGAGCAAATCAGAGAACTCTAGATGCTGGCGAGGATGTGGAGAAACGGGCACCCTCCTACACTGTTGGTGGGAATGTAAACTGGTACAGCCCCTCTGGAAAACAGTGTGGAGGTTCCTCAGGAAACTAACAATAGAACTCCCCTATGACCCAGCAATAGCACTGCTAGGAATTTACCCAAGGGATACAGAAATGCTGAGGCATAGGAGCACATGGACCCCAATGTTCATAGCAGCACTCTCCACAATAGCTAAAACATGGAAAGAGCCTAAGTGTCCATCAACAGATGAATGGATCAAGAAGATGTGGTTTATCTATACCATGGAATACTACATGGCAATGAGAAACAATGAAATCTGGCCATGTGTAGCAACATGGATGGACCTTGAGGGTGTTATGCTGAGCGAAATAAGTCAGCCAGAGAAGGACAAATATCATATGTTTGCACGTATAGGAGGATTAGGAGGAACTTGACGGAGGAACAAGCGGGAGAAGAAGGGCGGAAATGGTGGGGGAAAGGGAGAGAGGCCAACCATGAGAGACTCTTGAATGCTGACAAAAACTGAGGACTGATGGATGTGGGGGGGAGGGGGGGATGGGCATGGAGGAGGGCACTTTGGGGATGAGCACTGAGTGTTATGTAGAAACTAATTTGACAATAAAGTATTTGTAAAAAAAAATTAAAAAAATAAAAAAAAAATAAAAAAAAAAAGCAGTTTTCTGACACCCTTTTAAGAATTTTGACAGGGACTAACAGTGCTGTGTTGTGCTTTTGGTTACAAGCCCATGTGTATTACAAGTATCTGAAATGCAGGTTTGTCTAATGATACTTTTCTAATTAGATAAGTGGTGGGCAGCACAGCTTGTGTTGTGTTTGCTCTTTTCATGTGAATTTCTTGAATTCTCTTTGATGACTCTTGAAGTTAGGAATAGTCCCGGGGATAGCCCCTGGCATATGGTATGCACTCAGTAAATGTTTGTTGAGTGAGTGGAATTTACAAGTTGGTATTTGTTTCTTAGTATATGTTTTAGGAAATATGAATCGTATTTTTCTGTTTTTAATTCATAAAAGTGTAGCTGAAGATTACATGGAAATTGCCACTGATAATGATTATTCCTATTATTTCTGTTGAGATCCTAGAAAGATCAGGCGTAAAATAATACAGTCTGCTTTTAAATACTAAGATTATGGGTATTGGGGAAACTATAAGTCACAACCCTGCTCTCATGTTAATTCCCAGAGTAGTCATTGTGTTACAGTAAACTTTGGGAAGAAAACATTTTATATTTAAATAATAACATGCCTAAAGGTATGAAGTAAGACATTTTCCTACTTTCTTATACTTAGGCTAAATAGCACAATTATGGTTTAATAATTACGTAAAACATTGTAAGTTTTTAAAAGGGGTTTTTTCATTTAGATATCATCCTTTGAAGGAACCCAGCTTTCTCTTGCTACTGCTTTTAGAAAAGGAAAGAAACTGATTGAATAGGAAAAAAAATAATTTGAGTAATGTCATGTTGGAACTTTTGTTAGAAGATCCCTTTATGGTAAAGGCTTATTTAATTCCTGTGGGTTTTTTTCCTTTTAAACGAATGGAGGAGAAAAATATTAAAGAGTAAGGACATATTAATACTTATCGAGTCTTCTCATTTCCTCATGAAAAGAGGAAAAGGGGGAATAAATTTAATGCATTAACTTTGTTATTTGGGTGTAAAAATTTCTAGTTAGTTACCATCATGAATGGACAATCAGATTTTGACTTTATGTAGCAATGAAAACTAGGAACTGTAGTACTAATTTCCAAATTCGCTACCAGTTGGTTTTCTATGCCATTTTAAAACTAACTCAGTTTTTCATTTTGGGAATGAGATAGTATTGACCTATCTGAACAGGACAGGTAAGGATTAATTTAGTGTCTGAGATACGCTATCTCGAAAAAAGTTTATGAAATTGTTAGCAAATGTTTCTATTTTCACCATTGCCCCTATTGCTAACAAAGCAGTATTTAGTGGTGTTATGTTCTGAAAGCCTGGCAGGAAAGAGTTATCACTTAATTTCAGACTGTTAACATGTTTTAATTTAGTGTTTTTCAACGTGTGATCTGTAGAAACTAAGCATGGCATTTATCTGTGAATCTGTTAAAAATGGAAGATTATCAGGCCCCACTCCACAGTCAATAGATCAGAATTTGGGGGTGGGAGGAGGTTCAGAAATCTGCATTTCTCACCAAACTTCCAGTAGTTTTTATACAAGCTAAAATTTGAGCAGTATTACATATTTTAAACCTAAGTTTCTGTTTACCTGATTTTTTTTCAGACCCAGACTGTGAAGTCCTTTTATCAGTTTTTATGAAGCATGATCAGAATATATTAAAAGAGGCCATTATGATTTATTTTCTGGTATAAAGAGATTGAGAACAGTATTAAAACCAATATCCCTTTAGCTTTAAGATTTATTATGAATAATTTTTTTCTGATTATGAAAGTAACATATGGCCATTGTGGAATATTACAAAAATTTAGGAAATTATAAAATAACAATCACCCATAATCCTGTTTTCTGGAGATAAGTATTATTATAATTTTGACATATTTCCTTCTGATATCTATTTATCCATTTATCCTTCCCTTCTTTTTGTCTTTATGGAAAGCACATTTGCAGTTTTTATCCTGCTTTTTTCTAATACAAGCATTTTACCACATTATTAAAGTGTTTTTCACAAACATAACTGTTGTGCTTTATATTCAGTATTCATAGGGGATGTGCTATATTTAACCATTCTCCTATTGTTGGATGTTTAGATTTTTTTTTGGGCAGTTTCTGTGAAAGAATGTCTTTCTGTTTAAAATTTTGTCTGAATCTGATTACTTCCATTAGGATAGGATTATATATTGTGGTCAAGGGGCATAAATATTTTTAAACTCTGTTGAACATCACCAAATTGGTTTGAGAATGGTGTTCATTTCAGTATTCTGCAGATACTTATGAGAATGCCAGAAAGAAGTATTGTTTTTGAAAGCTAATTTATTAAGGAAAGTGTAGTATGTCATCGTTTTAATTTTTTGATTATTAGTGAGGTAAACATTTTTGCACCATTTATCAGGTTTGGCTTTAATTTCTTTAACCCAAATTGTTCATTTTGTTTCAGGTCTTCTCTGCTGGTTGAAATGTCTATGATTTTATCCGCATCAGTCATTCGTGTCAGAGATGGGCTGCCACTTTCTGCTTCTACTGATTATGAACAAGGCACAGGCGTGCAGGAGTGCAGGAAGTATTTTAAAATGCTCTCAAAGAAACTGGCTCAGCTTCCTGATAGATGTACACTGAAAACTGGACATTATAACATTAAGTAAGCCTTCAGTTTCCTCCATTAGAATAATTTACTGAGTGGTTGCCGTTTGAACGAAATTTAAGTGGTTGTAGTAAAAATCAATGATTGGTTAGAAAAGTGTATTCAAGTCCAGAATCACATGAACTTATACTAAACGATAGTTATCAGGGTATTGCCCCTTTTTCAGTTTCTCTGTGTCTAAATCTGGCTTTAGAAATTTTTATAGTTTTGCAGATTACAGCTTATTGTAGAAGTTGGTCACTGGGTTATTTATTGGTGTTCTTACATGCTAGGCAAACTGTAATGGGAAATATAAAAAATATACATGAAACTTGCCCTCAAAGACCTTAGGTTTACATTCTAGTGAGAGAGTATAACACTCATCTCTATTTATTGTATATAAACAAGGTAACACTGGGCGATGGAGTAGAGTTACTTTATGGTAGTCCAGGGCCTCTCTGAAAAGGCGATATTTGAGCAGAGACCTAAAAGATGAAAAAAGATGGTCACGTGAAGGATGCTGTAGATGAAGAGCAAGGCAGAGTAACAGCTAGGGCCAAAGACCTTTGATATTGATCAAGGGATGGAAAGAAAACCAGAGATGCTGAAGCAATATAGACAATTAATAGAGTGGTGACAGAAGCTGAGGTCAGAAAGGTAGGAATGGGACAGGTTACATAGAGCATTCTAGGCTGTGATAAAGAGTTTGGATTGAGTCTAATGGAATAGGAAACCACTGGAAAGTTTTTTTGTTTTTTTTTTTTTAAATATTTTTTTATTTATTTCTAGGAGAGAGAGAGAGAGAGACAGCGTGAGCAGGGGAGGGTCAGAGAGAGAGGGAGAAACAGAATCTGAAAAAGGCTCCAGGCTCTGAGCTGGCAGTCAGCACAGAGCCCGACGCGGGGCTCGAACCCACGAACCGTGAGATCATGACCTAAGTGAAAGTCAGACGCTTAACCGACTAAGCCATCCAGGTGCCCCAGGAAACCACTGGAAAGTTTTAAGCTGGAGAGTTCTATGATGTGATTATGGCTTTGAGTAGATCATCCTGGCTGCTGTATGGAGAATGGGCTCTAAAGGAGAAAGAGTGGAAGCAGAGAGATCATTTAGGAAACTCTTAAAGAAGTTCATTTAGAGGTGATGGCTTATAACTAGAATGGCAGTGATAATGATGAGAACTGGTTGGATTGGGGCTGTGTTTGGGGAGTAGCACCAACAGATCTTCCTAATGGATTGTAGTGGGATGTGAGGAAAAGAGAATAATCAAGAGTTGCCTTTAGATTTTTTGGCTTGGAGAATGTCCATAATTACTTGGCTAATGGGGCTGAAATGAGTAAGATTGGAGAGTATATGTTTTGTTGGTAAAAATCAAGAGTTCTATTTGGACATGTTAAGTCTGAGATGCCCATTAGATATTCAGGAGGCACTGTCAGGTAGGCAGCTGGATGTGTAAGTCTGAAGTTTGTTGAAGAAGGACAAGTATGGAGATACAGATTTGGAGACCAGCTTATAGTTTATAATTAAATCCATGGGAATAGATAAGACTCCCTTAGAGAGCATGCACATGAAACAGAGGACAATGAACTCTTCAGCACTTTGACACTGATTTTGTCTATAGAAGGGAATCAGATAAGGACAAGGTCCACAAGGGATGTAATTAGAAGAGGGCTTCATCTTTGAGATGAGACTTGAGCCACATCCTGAAGAATTCATAAGATTTGGTTAAGGCAGAGAAGAGGACGTTCCAGGTATAGACAGGAGAGGCAAAATAAGTAAAGAATGACTTAGCACTGGGAGTACATTCACCCATTTGACCTGGTGTCGTGAATGGTGATTTAGGGATAGTTATGGGAAATGTCAGATAATTAGTGTGGGGCCAGATCCTGGATTTCCCTGAAAGTTCAGACTGATGGATGTCACTTTGATGTAATAGGTTAAAAGAAGCTGTTACTGCAGATTTGAGGGAAGTGACTTGATTAAAAACAAAACAAAACAACAAAAAAAACCAATGATGAGGCAGTGAAATATAAGGTGAAATGGAAAGTCTGAGAAGAGAGAGATTAACTTATAATTGAGGCCTGAACTAATAAGATGTAAGTGCAAATGAAAAAGAAAAATGCCAACCACAGAAACCCTTCAAAAGAAGAAATGGTTAAGCCTGGTAAGATGGAATACCAGAGATGAAGAGATGGAATGCCAAAGATGACCTAAACCTTGGAACTGGACACAGCAAGGTCTTTGGAAAGGATTGTTTTATGGGAGGTAAGGAAGAAGAGGAAGATAGGTAGGCACTATCTTGGGTATTTTATATGAGGTTGTGACTAGGCAGTCCAGTTGAGATTAGGTAGAGATTTTGGAATCATTCACATAGAAGTTGAAACTGTGAGGCTGGACATGCCCACTGAGTTTCTGAGAGGCCCAGATTAGAACCTTAGAGAATGTCCATAATTACTTAGATCATCTGGATAATCGTAAGTTAATGAACTGTTATCTTAAATTGGGCTTTCAAAGGGTTTAACCGGAGAACATGGTGGTGGTGATGGTTAAAATATATCTAAAATGATGTCTAACCTACTTCTGTTTTATGGAGAGAAACTGGAAACATTTTAAAATTCTATTTAATAGGCTTTTTTTAGTGCCCTTGGTCATTTTTCTGGGTTCTAGTTGATATTGTATAGTACAGTAGACACATATCAACATTGTAGAAGATTGTCTGAACGCATAGTATTTCTGGCAGATATCCTGGACTTGATAGAACAACTTTTCTTTGCAAGTGGTTTTTTCTTTCTCTGTTTATTCTCTTCAAAGTATAGTATCGTGCAGTAAAATTTTAACACCCCTCCAATTCTAATTATTTTGATTTCTAGAGTTTGTATTATTTCTCTGTACCCCATCTTATTCCACAAAGGAGGTGAGGCAGTTTACAAAAAAATATAATCAAGAGCACAGGAAAGAGAATCACATAAAGGTAGAGATAAAGATAGGAGAATAATAAACTGAAGTAACTTCTGGAGATCCAAACTGCATAGTCCATTCATTTGTTGGAAGAGGACTGCAGATATTGCTCTTAGCTTCCTCAAGGCCAAAACAAAGGTGGATAATGAATCATTTACAGGCTACAGTGTCCATGGGCTAAGAACATTGCTCTTCATGTTACTGAGACCCGATGTATGTAAAGAGGGACAGCATTTGGATAGCATTCTTCCAGCAGCCATAACAGTGAGCTTATGATTTTTCTTATAATATTCTTCAGTGTAAGCAAATGACGTAATGCCAAAAGCAATTTCATCAGAGAGTTTATGAGTGAGATGAGTCAGCAGCGGTCTAATCTGGCCTGATCTAAGAATACAATTTTGAAATGTCTGAAGGAATAAATAGATTACATGGCCTTCAGAACCACACATAGAAAAGCCTCTATGCACATTATTCTTGTAACCAAGTTTTTAAAAAAGATTGAACAATAGACAAGCTTAGTTCTAGCTCTTGACAAGAACCTGGATTTTATGTACTTTCTATCCTTGATTAGAGGACTTGTTCATTGTTTTCTAGTTTATTGAGGTTTTCATGATATATGATAATACATTTAGACTGAATTATAAAATCCCTATAAATTGGGAGTTTATATATTACCTGAGTTATTTAAAATTCTCTTGTGACACCTCTTTTTCTAACTACCCCTAAGCTTGCCAGATGAAACTCACAGATTTGCAGTTAACAACACCATAGCATGGCCTGAAACTGGCACTAGGCTGCATGTCTGCCTTCTTAAAGCCCAGCTTATAGCCTACTTTTTCTTGAATCCCCTTCCTTGCTGCTGCTGTTTCATTTCTCTCATGATCAGTCCCTTCATCGATTGCCTGTAGAACTTGCTTGACTTCCTTATCATTTATATTTTTTATATTTTAAATTTATTTTAAAATTTCTATATCCTTTCTCTATAGTTAGATAGATAACTCACTGAGATACTTGATCTGCTCTGGGTTATAAATGATCCCTTATCTCTTAGCATTGTGGTTTTCAAATTGGTGTAGAAATTGAGGTGCTCTTTGCAGAATACTGCTGAGAACAAAAATATAGTAGCTAAGGTATGTAATTACATGCTAAATCAGATGGTACCTTGCACTGGATCCTAGTTCAGTAGGTAGTGGAAGATCATAGCATTTGAGAACAAAATTAGGAGAGTAGCATTTTAAAGTTAAGAAAATCCTCCCCTCCCCCCACCCTGTATTGGGAAAATGATGAACTTTACCACATTGTAGTGGCTGAATACTTGAGTTCAGCCAATGGAGTCCATTCTGTGGAGCTTCTGTTGGCACAGTACCTTGCACATGAGATACTAGGTGCTAAATGAGGGATGGTGGTTTTGGGAGTATGGCAGTGTTCAAAGTGCTGCGGAATTAAGTCTTCATTTTGTTAAAATACTTCACTTTGGCTTGTTGATTGGTGGGTGGTTGAGGGGGCGCATAATCCAGTTTTGTGATTTCTTCTTGTAGTCCAGTTGAATCTTTGGACAACATGGGTTTGAGCTGCACAGGTCCATTTATAAGCTAATTCCTTTGAATAAGTACAGTATAGAACTGTAAATGTATTTTCTCTTATGATTAAAAACAATTTTTAATGTTATTTTTGAGAGAACGAGCACAGGTGAGCTAGGGAGGAACAGAGAGAGAGGGAGCCACAGAATCTGAAGCAGGCTTCAGACTCTGTGCTCTGTCAGCACAGAGCCCAATGTGGGGCTCGAACCCACCACCATGAGATCACTACCCAAACTGAAGTTAGATGCTTAACCGACTGAGCCCCTCTCTTAAGACATTTTAAACAACATTTTCTTTTCCCTGACTTATTGTATGAATACAGCATATAATACATATAACATACAAAATACATGTCAGTTGTGTTATTGGTAAGGCTTTCAGTCAGTGGTAGCCTATTAGTAGTCAAGTTTTTGGGGAGTCAAAAGTCATGCTGTGCAGGAGGTTGCCGTCCCTAACCCCAGCATTGTTCAAGGGTCTGATAGC